TTAGTGGCTACGCCGAGGCGCGATGGCGGTCGGCGGATAGAACGATCCAAATCGTTCCATCCTGAAGAGAAAGTTTCTAACATATGAGAGAAATGGTGTTTGTAGAGAACATATCAAGTGATTGACACATGTTCTTAAATTTTGTGGAATGTTCTGGTTGCTCACAGCAGGTTGGCACAAAACGTGTATCATGGATGATCACTCGAATAACATTACAATGTCAGTTCTGGGCTAGTCTTGTGCGCATCACTGGGTCGCTGTAGAAATCAGATATTGTACTAAAGGAGGGTCAATCATTAATCTCGACCCTAATTAGCTCCCATACCACTTCATTTCACGTTTCCCATGCAAGGCGGTGAGCCGAGTAGCCGATACTTGCCCTAAGTACCTTTGTGTAGCACATTGAGCATTTAGGAAGAGGGAAGAGGGAAGAGAGGAGAATAGGGTCCTGAGCAAAATCTGTTTATTTTGGATCTTTAAAAACTCTAATTTTTAAATAATCCTGATATGGTCAGTCACGCGACATATTTCACGCCTTAAATCGTAAGCTGAATATGAAAACAGCGATCATTGACATTACAGTATTGTAGTTAGTATTGCGAATAACCCTAACCCAGCAACGTCGTACTCGCGTCAGGGAAAAAGAACCAGAACATGCAAGTGGGAAAGCAGGGATTATTTGTATGGAGTGGCGCTGAGCTGCCATACAAACTAGGCATTTGCATGTTCTGGTTCTTTATCCTAGACGCGAGTACTAAGGAGATCACATGTTACAGCCGAAAGCATCCCGAACCCTTCCCGCGGGTCCTCGTTACCAGTAATCATGAACATGTAGCTGTCAAAATCCCTAGGTATTCCGCGAAAAAAAAAGAAAGAAAAAAGCTTCTAACTAATCTAAAACCTACATGTACGGATATATGTATAAGTGTAACAATATCGATCGATCATCTCTACTGCACCTTCTTTTTATCCTCTCCACCATCCATGCTAACACCTCCAACGAATACTTCACTAAGGAACTCCAAGGCACTCACAAACACACCCAAAAGCCCGCAAATAAAGAAGTGACTGATCGTCGTTCCGATATCGAGCCAGCTACCTTCGTCTTTAACCATATAAAAGAAGTTCAGTGTGAGCACATCGCTGATGGCCATAACGACCATAAACAGCGCACTCGGTGCTACACCAATACGGCGATTTAATACACCCAAATTCGCAGAGATGACAGCGAATGGGATGAGAAGCTTCAGTATTAGGAGTGCACCCATGGCGAAGGGACTAAAGACGGGGATGAGACGATAGACGCTGTCCAATGAGAAAGAAGAGACGGAGGCGATATTTCCAGTACCAAAGAAGGCGATTTGAATCAGGAAAAAGAAGAAAAGCGCCACGCGGGAATCAGCGAGGGTCAATGAGCGCCATTCGTCTATTCCCGCGGTTGAGTCAATTGCAATGGATGCTGCATCCGCGAGTGTTTTGCCGGCCATGGGAGTGCTAGTAGGGTGATGAGAGTGGAGGTAGATCTTGTGCTCAAGACGTACCCATGCCACAAGGGTAAGGCAAAACACAACGTAGAAGAGTCCCTCGTACGATATCGTGAGAACGACAAAGATCGGTGAGAATGTGAGGAATATCACAACCAGTCTATGGAAATAATAACTTTGCGGTCGGATCCCATGCAGGAACGGGACCGTGATCGATAAAACTAGAGCACGAAAAACTGTAAGCAATAGTGTGGGGGCGGAAGTGACATAGCAGGGGAGAAAAGTGATATAACGAACCAAGCACACTCCATCCCACAACTTGGTTCCCCAACGGAAGGCCCTGTTTCGCCTGTAAAGATCTGACACTTGACTGCGTGACGATCATAGCGAGTCCAATCAACCCGACCTATCCCGCGATCGTCAGCGCCCGCTTTAGATTGTGGGGTAAATTTTATATCACAAACCTGCAGACCTAAAATGCTTTTCGAGACCCAATCCTGCACACCACCTCCTATACGCTCGCCAAACATAATATACAGCAATCCCAACCCGAACATGAGTCCTCCCCCAAGTAATCTATTTATTATGGTTAGCTTGGATGCAACCAATATGATTACGTATCAGTAGCCGAGGCTGGAAAGACATACATAAGGTTCTCACTCTCCTGTTTCAGTACAGGGAGTAATGTGAAGGTGCTCATCAACCCACAGCAAATGGCCCAACCCGTCACCAGAAGCCCATTTTGTCGGACAAAACCGGAACCATATGACATAGGCCAAAATGCGGCGAAGCAAAAGCAAGCGGTAAATACCTCTCGCCGGAAATAACCCCAGACCTATCATTGCCAGCCCGGCGAATATTAGCATACAAGCTCGTCTGTACCACGCGACCAGGACGAGGGGATATTTGGTAGTAGGGGAAGGAGGATATCATGAATATTTCTCAAGATCCTTGGCTAACCAATATCTTGCAGAAATTTTCAGTATACCATTCCCTCGTTACTCAGCTCGTCTCCCTCTTTAGGCGCTAGGAAAGGGAAACACAAAACGTACCATAGCTTCCAGTACTCCCAAGAAAACAACGGCCTCGAGAATCAATCCCACAACTCCCGAGAATCCGCTAAGATGTTTTATAAGCATCTTGCCTCCTTGGGATAATCCCTTCCGCCTCGCGAAGACCTCTTCCCAGAAGGCAACTGGGAAAAACGCATATGCGTAGTAGGTCCAGTTACTTCTTTGCATCACGAGTACGCTATATAGTACAACGAACACACTTGAAAAAAACAAAGTGCTCGTGACCGTTCTTGAATGCTCGGTCTTGGAGTGCAATACGTGAAGATCGATCACAGTCGTGAACGCGAATGCAATCCAGCCAAGATACCCAAGTGTCACAAGGGTACGTAAAAATAGCCAATCGTAGGTTTGGAGATATCTGAGACCTTCAAGCCCAAGTTTAATTAGTTCTTGAGATTTGGTAATTGACTCAACGTATTTGTGGTTGTCGATGAGAAGACGAATCTGCATAAAGCGGGATTCAAGCGACTGTGAACCCTCTCCAAAAGCTGCAAAGGGTTTATATTTGATCATAGTGTTTTTCTTTACCTCTGTTTTACATCAGCTTGTTTTCCCATATAAATGATTCCTTGGCATGAATATTGCTGCATCACAGCCCATCACCCGGTCATGGCCAATAAAAGGAAGGGCGGTAAGGGTAAATTAACATACCTTCCTTTACCCTATACATCTCCAAGATCTGCTTAGCATTAGTCCATGCGGCCTCCGCTTTCACCACTGGCTCGGCATCTAGATACTCTAGCGGCAGCTCCCCTACGGAGTGAACCGGCCACTCTAGTCCGACAAGATACGCCATCAACGCTGCAACATCCGCTTGGGCAACATCCACTCTCCGCACCGCATTCAGGTCCCAATCCGCCGAGAAGCCATCTTCATGACCTGTCGGCGCATTTGTTGGTGGCGGTAGAGGTTTTCGCACGCCGGAACCCCAGGCTACGAGCGGTGTGCGGGTGTTATCAGGGTGGCCATCGCCATGAGAACCCCAATCGCTCATGCCGTGATCGGCTGTGAATACCCATGCGGTCTGGTCATCGTGCTTATAAAAGTCGTTGACTAGTTTGTGAATTCGCTCCAAACCGTCATCGACGACTTTAATGTTGCGAAGATACTCAGGGCTGTATGGTCTGTAGGAATGTCCGGTTGTATCAAGACCTAGCAGATGTAGAAAAAAAACCAGTTTGTCTTGGTGGAGCATGTCGTAGAGTGTCGAATTCGTGAGCGCCGATTCAAAGAGTTCTTGGACACGGTCAAAGACCCAGATATCCAGGTTTGTTGCGTCTGTAGTATGTATGTTAGTCCAAAACTCCACTTTGTAGTAGTATGATCCTTACCAGCAGTAAAATCCTCCATTTCCTCGTCATAACTGTATGCATCAACCCTATCTTGATCACTGGCACCATGTTTGAACATGGGTAAGATATCTGGGGACCCCCAACTCCATGTGTGCCGACTCCTATTAAAGACAGAATCGAACCCAACTGGGTTCATCTTCCATCCCGTTGTGACAGCGCTCACATCCTCATACAACCCCGCGATCAGGGCGACGTGTCCAGGTCGTGATTCTGTTGGTACACGGGTATGTGAAACACCAAAGGTACCAGCTGTGAGTACTCGAGAACGTACAAATGGAGCGAGATGTGCCGAAACCGACGGATCATCTGGGTCAGTGTGTTTTTGGAAACATTTATCCGCTCGGAGGCCATCACCTATTCTCGAATGTTAGTGTAAGTGAAGTGGTAAGCTGAGGATATAAGGGGATAACAAACCGACGACTAGGAATAATCGTTTTGCCGGTGCTGCGGCATCGACGGAATATTGTCGCATGCCATAGACAATTGGTGAAACGAAGTAGATGTCAAATATTGAGTAAAGGTAGAATAAATGGAATATAACTGCAACGGCTAAGAAGCCAGTGCGTCCCAGGCGCGCCATGATTGCGAGAGCTCTGCTTGAGCGCTCAGGGGGTGTAAATGTAGCTATGTGAATGTGTGAAAGAATGGCGCGCTCTTGGGGAGCGAACAGAGGGGAAAGGGCGACAGTAAGAATCCGTAAGAATTGTTGAGTAAGTATTAGAAAAGAGATTAAAGGAGAGGTGTTCGTAGTAATGAGGCTCAAGTTGAACGGGGGGTGGATAGCTGAGATGTCTCGTTGCACTTATCGATTGGAGGACAACTCTTGATATCGCACAGAACATAAAAATATTTGCTTTGAGGATTGAAGGAATTTACAAATAAAGGTTTTCGAGATCCGTCTTATACCGGCCTTTCTTTCTGTACAAAGCTACCCTTTGGCACCTTGTTGGATAAGCCAACAGTCAACCATTTCCACAAAGAGCCCTTGTATTTCGCCCAAATTCCTCCATAGTACCAAAAGGGAAACCGATATAGATGACCGCATTCTTCATGCCCCATTCGATACCCATAGCTTATTCACCCCCGACCTTTTACAATCCCTTCCTCTTCATTTCCATGGCAATTGACACCAGTTTCTTGAATCCAGCCTTAAACCTCTTCCTGTGCCTTGCACTCTTCAATCTCTTCTTCTTCAATCCCGGTCTTTCGTGGAACCTCTGCCTAACCTGATCCGCCTTGACATTGTTCGCCGTCAAGATCATCCTCAACCTTGACAGAGCGGATGGTAGATCAGCTCTAACTTGAACACTTCTTCCTGCCGAAGGTCCGGTGCGTGGGATAGCCCTGTTGCCGAGAGGAGGGCTGCTCAGGCTTTGACCGCGGGAGAACTCGTTTGATTCCAGGAGTGACTCGAAGTTGCGGCGCGCTGGCCCAGTTTTGGTCTTCACCAATTCCAGGAGTTCGTTAATGGTCGTTCCTGAGGAGGCATTGGATGTTCTGCTCCGAGTCGCGGTGGGGTTCGTTGGTGGGGGATAGCGGAGCCCAGATGTGTTTGAGAATGCCCGAATTGTGTACGTAGAGATCGAATAGGGATTTTTAGGAGATGCCAAAAGAGGCTTTGGGACGAGTGCCTTCCGTAAAAGACACCGGAACTCCATCATGCACAGTTGGGAGAGTTGAGGCGATGGGTCTTGGACAATTGTATATTATCGGTTTCTGGGGTTGAATTTGTTTTCGCATCATCTATGTTCATTACATAAGCAACAGTACTTTTGCCCAGACATTTCACGACTCCCTTCACAATCAACTTCTACACGCTTACAACGACGGCCCACTGTACGACAGCTCCTCCACTACGAACACGTCCCTTTGTTGCCATCTTCTATAGCTCTCTACACGCGCGCAGTATATAAAGACCAAACAACCCCTTCAATAAGCACATCTTACTCAATGTATCCGTACGGTCGTAAGTTTAGCCTTCCTATTGTAAGCACAACTTAGTACGTAGCTAATCCCCCAGAGTACGGTCGTCCCCAAATGCCTCCGGGCTTTACCGGAATGATGCCACCATCATTCGGTATGCCTCCAGGTACTGGCGCGCCTGGAACCCCCGGGCTCCCTCCTCCTCCAGGAACCGGCGGCGCACCACCTGGCACGATGCAAGCCAATATGCCCACCCGTCCTGGCATGGCCGGTTTTGTGCCCCCCGCCAATCTACCGAACATAAACTTCAACGCGCCGATCATTAGGCTGGGTACGAGCGTGACGAGGCAGAATCCTGTACCTAGCGCCGGCGGTAAGGGTATGGGTGGTATGGGAGGTGGTGGGCAAATGTTCAGTAGGGAAGCGGTTGTAGATTTAGTCCCGCCAACGGTTGAAGAACAGCTGAAGACAGTTTTTGTGGGCGGTATCCCAGGAAGCTTGGGCGATGAGTGGATGGAAAAAATACTTAGGGTAAGGTGTTTTCTTATCTTCAGTGATACCGGTCATTTAGCGCACTTGGAAATATTTAATAGAATCATGCTAACGCTTCTGGTACAGTCTGCGGCGAATTTGAAGAAGTGGGCACGAGCCACAAACGAAAATGGAGATCCATGCAAGTTTGGTTTCGCGGAATATGAAGATCCTGAAAGTCTTGGGTGCGCAATCGAAGTTCTTAAGGATTTAGAGATACCTGCTGTTGACGATAAAGGGGAAGCTGCTAAGTTAATGGTTCGTATCCCATCCCCTCGCCATAACCGCATTTTACTAATAGTCATCTAGGTTGTCATCGATGATAACTCGACCACATTCCTCGAAAACTGCCAGGAGCATTCCGAAAGACAACAGCCTGATTACGCTTCTATTCAGCAATCTCGCATCGATGCCGCCCGTGCGGCCATCGCAGCAACAATATCAGAGCTCAACGACCCTACAAAACGCGCCTCTGCTAAACCCGACACCACCGCCTCTCCCAACACCACAAGATCCGAATCTGAAGCTCCTACAAAGAATGAGCCCGAAACATCAAATACACAACAACAACCAGAAATTGTAACAATCCCTCTCTCTGCAGATGACGAACTGAGTGACATCCCAGCAGACATGCGTGAAATGGTAGCGAAGGAGATTGCCGCTTTCCGCGAACGCTCTAACCGCAGAGATCTGGAGCGCTTGAAACGGGAGGAAGAAATTGAAAAGATGGAACGCGAGAGAAATGCTGGCCCGCGGATTAACCGTCTAGCGTCTTCTCCCCCACCTTCAAGCGCGCCTACAGGTCCATCTGGCGGGGCAAATGCTATCCCAATTGGACCAAGTAGGCTTCGTGGTGATGGACCTTCAAGTCGTGTTCCTACTGGGCCATCAGCTGGTGTACAGGTTCCCCGCGATTACCAGAAGGGTGTAGCGTTCGTTAACGGAAACCATCCGAACGGATATCTATACTCCAAGGAGGAGGAAGATTCGGATGCAAGCGACGAGGAACTTGAACGAAGGAGAAAAGCCAAGAAGGCAGCCGACGCGGAGAAAAATTTCCTTGATCATGAAAGACGCTGGCTCAACCGTGAGAGATCACGAACCAGTGCATTAGAACGGGAGCAGCTTAGGGATGCTGAGGACGAGGTCAGAGAGGCTGCCGAGAAGCAGGCGATGGCAAAACGACTAGAAGCGTGGGACGACGACGTTGAAGCAGAGAAGAAAATTGAAGAGTATTATGTTGATCGTAGTGTGTGGATCCGGAACCGTGCGGCTTTCCGTGCTAGAGAAGCGGAACTAGATGACCGTGATCGCGCTGCCGAAATACGGCAAACAGAGATTGACGGCGATAAGAAGCGTGCGGCAGAAAGCATGGCGGATAGCTTCCTTGCGAGACAAGCAGAGGAGATGGAGAAGGCTGCGGCGACAGTTAAGGAGCCACAGAAGTTCAAGCTTGCATTGGGCGCGGCAGCGTCGAAGAAGCAGGAGGCTAGCGCGCCAAGAAGGAAGACAGCTGCTGAGGTTGAAGGGCTGTTGGAAGATGAAGAAGAGGATGATAGTATTAGAAGAAGAGTATTGGTGCCGATCACATACGATGCTTCAAGTGTTATGGACGAAGAGACCAGGGAGAAGCTGGTGAAACAATTGGCGCAGGAGATTCCGAGCGACAGGTCAGGGTTGTTCGATTGGAAAGTTCAATGGGACCATGTGGATGAAGCGATCATTGGCGAGAAGCTGCAGCCATTTGTGGAGAAGAAAATCATGGAGGTTTGTTTTGTCCCCTTGCTTTCATGTCTTGCGCTAATCAGAGTATAGTACCTCGGTGTGCAAGAACAAGAGCTTGTTGGCTTTGTTCTCGATCATATCCGTAAGCGCGGTACTGCAGAAAACCTTGTGAAAGAATTGGAAATGGTACGATCTCACACCCCATTATTTTCCAAACCCCCGCTAACCAACCCTATAGGCACTTGGCGAGGATGGCGAAACAATGGTCAAGAAAGTCTGGCGTATGGTTATCTTCTATTCCGAGAGTGAGAAGAGAGGACTCAATTAGTTTACTTGTGGATATGTGAATGCCCTCCTGGTCCTGCAGTTTATAATACTCATGTTTCGAACCTACTTATTTCTCTTGTCCAAGCAGCTAATGCTTTTTTTTGTACGTTTGGTTGTCAGCCTCCTCCCCATTTCTGCGCGCAGTGGGGGAGTGCGGGAGTTAAATGCTGGGATACGTCTATGGAAAAAAAAGTAATGATGGCGGAGCATGTATAGTACCTACAACAATCTTATGTGATGACGAGCACAACCTACAGACCCTGTGTCCCTAACGAGTGATAATATGTGATTGAATGCCGATTCCGCGTCAAGTATCATACAATGTAATCGGCACAATCCTGTATCAGACCGAAGGGAATTAACGCTTCCCGCTTATGCGCCGGCCAAACCACGGAGAGCCTTACATGAACGCCCTTATCTTCGCGCGCTGGCTAGTATGTGAGGCGCTTAAACGTGGTTTTGTTGTGTGATATAAACAAGAGGGTAGCCAGTGGCCGGGTCATGATGTACATCGTGATAATCAATTGGCATGGTAGGGTTACATAGGTTTCTCTACATAGATCTTACCTTTGCTCCCTTAATTACATGTATTCCTTATTGCGGCCAGATACTACGGGGTCCACTAGGTTCGATCTGTAGGAAGATCCCTTTGGTGAATGACCTGTGATCCACTGGAGATACTTTTTGTTCCTGTTTTCTATGAATACTTTCTTTCTATGGATAGCCTTTCTTTATCTTGATTCTTATTTTCTGGGATGTTGCGAGTATTGTGGGTGGTTTGGGTACCGAGTGATAGGCTGTGAGTGGAATTAAAGCTCACGGCATCCAGAGCGCTACCCGATAAATTTCACTGAACCTCACTCAAGGAACATACCATTTAGATCACTCACCTGGAAATAGATTACGACAAGATTACTCCATCTATTTTATCGGCTGTAAATTGAAGTCCCATTCCAATATTTCCCTCATCTATCATAATTTTCAAAGTCTTCTTTTCTTCCCCTAGGCTTTCCCACAACGCTCCATCTCTACGTTCAAAAACGCCACATATAATACCAACCCCACCCCCACTATAACCACCTTACACCCGCACACCACAAACTTCCTCAGTGTGTCTGGGTCTGGGTCATACAACGACAACCACAGGCAGACACCCAACATCACGAACACCGCGGCCTGGCCAATCGCCCTCTGGTATTTCGAGAGCCTAACACGCTTTTGCTCAGCGCTCTTGCGGTGCTCCCATAGGCATTTAAGTCGGCGGAACCTACGCACGAAGGACGACGACCCACCGCATGGCCTCTTGCGACGGGATTTCGGCGTTGGACATGCGGTGAGCGCGTGTGCGAGAAGTTCCCGGAGATAAAGGATCAGCAGAATGAACATGCAGAGGGAAGTTGGGTCGGGGAACATTGTGAAGGTTCTTTGTGGTGGGGAATGGGCTCTTTGAGGGGGCTGTACTGGTAGCGGTGTTGGTGTTGACTATTTCTGGGTGTCTCGACAAAGAGTACCGCTGACTGTTTGGAATTTTGCGTAGGTGTACTCAAGTCTGGGAGATTGCGATGCTGCGATGCAAGTTGTGCCTACTTAACTGGCCAATGACCTGCTGTATTTATAGCTGTCTAGGTAGTTTCCCATGTTGCGTGGAAGAGAGGGCCCGTGCATATTTTGAAACAGATAGAAGGTTATACTCTTATAGAGCTATCATTTATGAAGGCGTACTCTTCTTTGAACGAAAATGTTCACGAAAGGTTGCGCTTCTCGAAACCTCTAGGAAACAAAGTACCGACCGTTTCTAGCGTGGTGGAGTTGGATGGTTAACGCAAGGAGCATATACTGAAATCGGCGAGGGCTTGGGAATATCTACCACAAGGTTTCATATTATCTTCGCCCACAGTTGGGTAGGAATAAAGATAAGACATATATAAAGATATTTTATATTCATATTCATATATGACGTGTCTACTTATGTACGTATTTACTTACCTTGGCCCCCTAGTATTATAAGTGGAACCCGTGTAGTCATATATTATTTCTTCTAACTCAAGGATTGCCAATTAGGACTCTGTATAGTAAGGCCAAAGTCTTTAGAAAAGAGAATTGTAACATAAGACGAAACTAGGAATCTATAGACGACATAGAGAAATCACAACCAACCAGACTCTACCAAAGAAAGACTTCGCACAAAAAGCAACTCAAGTAATATTGACATATCTATCTTCCTAGGTCTATCCCCACACCCTTTCCCCTAGCTTATATATCGAAACCACAAAGTTCTTACCCTGGGCAGGTAAATTACTTGCCCACTGCAGCGCAGCTAAAAACTCCCTCTCCCCCTGCACCACACACTCAGCCACCACCATAAAGTCCTTCTCCACATCAAACAGGCCCTCCTTCTCGCCTAGTATCTCCAACAGTTTTGTCCATGACGGCCCCTTAGTGCCGTTCTCAGTGATGTCACGCATGCTGACCACCGTCCGCACCTGCAGGTTGTCGGGCCGGAAGAAATTGAACACCATCCGGTTGTCAAAGAGGATAACGGGGCGGAAGGGTGGTCGGTAAATTTGCGAGTGTGTGGCTGGTGTCGGGCGGGTTGCTTCGACGGGTGCGGGGTGGCGGGTAGTTACTATTTTGAGTGGCTGTGGTGGGGGCGGGCGGGGTGCCTCTGCGGGGTGATGGCTGGCGGTACCCATTGTGTGTGTGGCTGTGGTGAGATTCTTGTGGGATTTCAGGGAGAGGTGCGCTGGGGTAAAATTTATAAAGATGCTATTGCTACTGGCTGGGGTGACGTGGATTTATATAATGAGGGCTCGGGAATGTAGAGATTCCGGATGCCACGAAACAGCGCATGAGGAGGTATCTCCAGATCTCGTTCTTTGTTGCTGTGCTGTACATCCACGTAGGTAGTAATCCAAGATCCTGGTCTTTTCTGAGGGGGTAGGTTCGGTTGATTCGCTGTCGTAGTTTCTTGCCTCTGACTGAGTTATGGTGTCGAAGTCTTTGTGGGTACGTACGCACTGACACATGCAGCCAGCTTCTTTAACAACATTAATAAGTTAAGATTTATCACTCAGTTCCATGGGGACACATGCAAGCAGGCTGTTAATGAACTTGGAATTGATAATATACGTATTTATCGCCTATCAAGAAAACCAAATCTCTCAAATGCATATGCCTAGCAACATTGAAAGTTTGAATATATCAAAGTAAACACCTAGAGCTCCATGATATGGAAAGACGACGTTTATTTCTCCCTTTACTAGACTAATCCTAATCCTGTGACTTGAGCAGGGGTATCGTAATACAAACTGCATGTCATTTAAGCTACAGACGTAGATCATTGACCTTTTCTTTTAGTAGAAACGGTTTTGGGGGTAATGTATCAATAGTGCTCTATCTCAAACCTCTAACAGCAGTCAAACGCCAGCAGATAAATAATGAAACACGCGTGCCTGCTGTACTCTTTGACCTCCCGCGACATCCCTTCAATTCTGTCATTGGCACCCCCTGTTTCAACACCTAACCCTTACAGAGAGTCTCAGGGTCTTGGCATCGTAATCAACGACCTCCAAGCTATCTGCTGTTGCCCTCCTCTACAACTGCTGCGCAGTCTCATGGCTGGCGAATCCAATGTCGCGAAAACGATCCATCAGCTCAGCTTCAGCTTCGCCCCCGCCAGCGGCAAAGCGCATATCTCCAAGCGTAGTAGAAACAACTTATTATTATGTCCTGTGCCAAGTGTTCCACTACGATACCGTTAGGCCCAGAACGCACATATCGCGATGCTACACTACTGCGGATGACGCTATTGATTTCGTGAGGGAGATGGTGCGCGGCTGGGACGAGAACGTCATGAGGGTCTGGGAGGAATTCGATGATGACGGCGAGGAGGGCGAGTTGTTGGTGCGGGTAACCACAAAGTAACGAACCTACTCCTTTTATTACTTCTCCAACCTCACTCGATCAAGCGCCGTTGTTTACCCGCGCGCGTCTTTTGGGGGATATGTAGTGATGTACTCGAGGAGGAGGAGATAACGATCACGGTACAGCGACAAAAGGTACCGGTCTATACCCCGCCTCCGCCGACGGTCTCATCCGTTTACATAATTGTCCAGAAGGATTATTGGAACAATGCTATGGACATTGACGACGGTGACGGTGATGGAGTCGCTACGACTACAATACACGACGCATATGCAGAGCGCAAAGATGCAAATCAGGCGGCTAGAAGAGTGCTGAGGGAAGTGTGTGGGGATCTGGATAGTATAGGAAGGATCGCATGTAGACATGAAGAAAGTATGGACGAGAATGGACTTTATGGTGGGTGTGCTTATGTGAAGGAAGAGAGGAGGTGCAAGGTAGAGGTGCAGGTCGAGAGGATGGAGGTGAGATGATATATATTGCCTGCTGGTTCGGGGAATTTTGAGATTCAATTATGTAAGTTCTTTTTTATAATGTCTATACTTATTTCTTTCCTTGTATACATGTACTCTAGCCAGCCTGAAATTTATGTTATTGTGATTCTCTTGTCAAAGCCAATGCGATCAAGTAAAATTGAGATCATTTTCAAGATTTTGATATTATAATTATAGGAAGATGGAGTGATGTACTATATTACTTGGTTTGTTTCATGTTGCTTCTTCGCTCTCCTCACTAGTGGGTCCTAAACTCTGCCGTGATTCTCAATGTCTAGTAGAAGGCGGCTGTTTGGAGATATATAAGGGAAAAAAGTATACTGTATCAATTCACAGATAGTACTCTTAGCAAAGATAATGCAACAATACTGTAGTGAGACCTTATCCCCCGTGATAGGGTCACTGCAGTTGTCACCTATCTGTACATACAGTACCATAGTCCTAGAAGCGCTAGCACACTCCCTACATGTATCTTAGTAATCGTTCCAAGTTAGTTGTCGAGTGATATCCTATGATGAAACAAATCATTAGCCAGCTACGGTACGTATTCAAACAATGAACGGCCCGAGAAATATGATATCCACGCCGAAGTGACTAACTAGTTACAATTAACTGCAAGGATCTATATTTCTTGTGACTGCTTTAATCCCCTCTCCATAATTTCGAGTTACTCCCATCCCGAGCGAGCTGTCAATCGATCAGGAATTACTGGCATATCCTGGCTCAGAAACATTTTTAAACTAGGACACCGCCCTCTATCGAACCCCCCCCCCCCGGGGGGGCGGGGCCCCTCATTCCTGTTTCTTGGGACGGGGGCCGGCGAAGCTACGATTGGCGTATTCGGTGGTGGGTTAGGGTTTATTTCATAAGTGTAGATTTCGGTTTTCTTTTAGTTACGTATGTAGCTGGGCCTTGGGGATAAGAACGCTCTGAGTTTGCATCTCCGGACAAGTGATCAAAAAGATTGATCGACTGTAACATAAGTGCGGTAGTCTGAGATACTAGGAGTGACTGAGGATTCGGCCCTGATCGACACATAGATATAGAATCATGTCCACCTTATATGCCAGATCAGTAGAGAAGCTCAGTTCTATACCAGCTCCTCCCTTTATTCTTCCAACGCTTGTTACGATTCTGATTTCATGGCCATTTCAGGAATACCGAAGCTTCTGGAATATTTCTAGGCTATCTGGGAGATACTGAAAAACCGGCCATCCGAATCGTTCTGGTCGATAAGGGAACATGAGCTCTCGGAGACATGCCAAGGTAAGATCAATGGATTAATGGAGAATCAGAATTGTCGGTTCAAATCCCAAATCCTCTAACCGACGTAGGTACGTATTTGAATATTCTCGAACCGGCTAGATAGTCTCCTTGGCACATACATGTACTCTTTGCTCTCCCCATCTCACATCCTTCGTCGCTAAGGCATCATAGTCTTTATCATTCTTTCACCGAACTATTAAGCAACTCTTATATTATCCTTTCATCTTCGTTTCTGATGTCCTTGAATTGATTAACCGCCTACTGGCCTAAGAGTGGTATGAATGGATCTCCCAGACGCCTTATCTGCCGTCAATTTGGTCCTGGGGAGAATTGATGTATCGAACTTATTGGATGCCTGGTCCATCTTTACAACTGGGCTGCTAGAAATTTCCCATTACCTTAATAATACGCGTAATACCTGCAGCGAGAATAGGAAGAACGAGCTTGAACAAGGCGAGCCAGCATTTAAGCGGGTTTACTAGCAACAGTGTCGAACGTGGATAACATTGCTAGTTCTGGATAATAACTGCAACCATAAAAGAAGAAGAAGCGGAGTGCTCAAAAACCTTCGAGCTTTGTGCACCAGTGTATCAAAAGTGGAGGTGCCTCGAGGAGGACGTGTCGCGCGTCTTTGGTATTGTTTTTATTGGAGTCGAAGGTATTCTGGTAAATATATGTATGTATGGTCAATGTGGTCTTTCCATCACCTCGATCCAATGGAATCAATACTAAAGGTGCATAGTACCCGTTTAAGGTACATCAGTACCGGATTCACCAGGGAAATATGTACCGTTGCTCAAGCGTCAGCTGCAACGCCTTTCTGCACAGCAAGAAAACGTTCTAGCCTTTGAAAGATGCACCGTTATTTTCTTCAATAGTGAAATACTATGGTTGGATCTGTACATCTTATCGACAAATCAAGCATGCGGATTATTAGAATAGAACCATACACGTATTATTGCCCCTTGGAAAGCGCAACAACAGCCAGCAAATAAGAAAATAACCGAGGACTGAGGTAGGTATCACTGCTGCAAGGCCCAGCCGGCCCGGATGTACCTCAAAGACACCGAGTACGTTTACTCGCCTAAATTATTTACCGTTGCACAGTGTTTTTGGTCGATCCATGCGATCCAATTCTCCATAGCCTTGCGTAGGTTGTTGGGTTCAAGGATTTCTTTAAGACATTGTATTCGATAGAATTGACCGAGTCCCTGTCGTCATCTCCCTACTCATGTTTATCTTTGTATATTCCACCCGGTCCTAACTGCGGATCTGGATCGAAACCCGAGTGTTGTCTTCAAGAACAACGTAGCTATGTAGTAATCCTATGAAACGATTGAAACGTTGATCTGATTCCATTCAACCTATAATACCATGTTATCTAGGACTTGAACCAAAGAGAAGCGAATCCTAATTGTCAAAATTCTTCATGAGGAGAGGTCGAGACCGTCCGGCCGGATAAGGTTCCGAAAAAAAACAAGTAACAACTGTAGGTATGTATCACCGAGTAGATGGGACTAATGCAAAACTAGTGAGACATGATATTTGTTTCTTCTGGTAGACAAATGAATTTCACTTCGGCAGAACATCTTGATTGATTCCTGCGCTGAACTGCCACATTGTTGGAGACATACTATTTCGCACACGCTACGAGTCTACGCCCCCAATGCTAGTTTCTGCTGCATATAGCTCTATTTATATGTAAGGGGGCTTGAGGCGGGGGAACACATTAAATACTTGAGCTTGCCCCCGCCTCTTTATATGCGTATGATTATTCCCTCCCAGAAAGCTTTCCACCTTCACAGATACTGACAGACGACTCACACATACCCATACTCTCATCATCTACCAAGTCGCATACTTGAACTTACAAAATGTCGTTCCAGGATCTTCCATACGAGCTGATTATGCTAATAGCCGACGTCTTGCCAGACCATAAATGTCTCAACAACCTTTCTCAATCATGCAAGAGATTCCATCAAATCTTGGAACCTCGTTGGGAGAAATATGCAGTTCAGGATAAGGACGAATGGAAGGTCCTCTCCTGGGCAATCCGACGAAAGGATAACTACTTCGTCAAATACCTCATCGGCCGAAAGGGCATCGATATCAACCACCAAGACAGCCTCGGCCTTTCCCCACTTCACTGGGGAGTCAGGAACGGAGATGAATCCAGTGTGGTTACAACTAAACTGCTACTCAGCGCGGATGCAGACATGACCCTCTTAGACAACGCTGGCCTGACACCCCTTCAATGGGCGGTGGTGCACAACCCGCCAATCGTCAAGATTCTCCTCGAAAAGGAAGCTACCGTCGAAAAGAAGGCCATCGACATACTGGATCGTTCAGGGCAGACCGCACTCCACCGCGCAGCAACAAAGGCCGACGTGGATCTCGTCAGGCAGCTCATCAAAGCCGGCGCAAACGTGAACATTGCCTGTCGATTGGGAAGGACCCCACTTATGTGGGCAGCATCAAAGAAGTCACTTGAGGTGATCAAGATTCTGGTTGAGGAGGAAGGTGCCAATGTGCACCATATTACTGACGACAAGAGGAACGTACTCCACCTGGCATCGACGGAAGGGACCATTGAGACAGTGAACTATTTTGTTGGGAAGGGGGTAGATATCACAGCCGCAGACAACCAGGGGAGGACACCACTTCATTGGGCGGCAGCATACGGAAACGGGAGGACATTCAGAGCGTTACTCAGGCATGGGGCTGATCCGAAGGTTAAGAACAATAATGGGCAGCTGGTAAATGATTGGGGGACGACCTTCACGACAATTGGAGATGCGCTAAGGGATATGGGAATCGCGGTTCCGAGACCACCTATGAAAGTCACGAGCGGTTTCATGCATTTTACTAGGTCTGTTGCCAATAGAGCTGACGGCCCTGATGATGAATTTTAGTGAAGTGCTTTGCTGAGCTGTACAAGGTCAAAAAGGGCTATGCCAATCTTCTGATCGAACGGATGCATTTATGAGACTGAGCAACCCAACTAGCGAACAGACAGACGGCCTCCAACCAGGTTTAGTTCTCTTTTGTAACTCTGTTTTCTCTTTTTAGTTTCTTTTGTTTTCATGCGGTTCTTTGGGTATATTTTCTATGGCGTTCTTGTTTGTCTCAGCTACTTCGTATTATTTGTAACTACTTAGATGTTATCAGAAACTTCATGGCTTCATCGAGAATCACTCGGGAAATATAAGCTCAAATCAAATCAACACTATCCGTCCAGACCATCATTCCAAACCTCTACAAGACGTGAAGAAACAAAAACCCCAGTGCACGTCATCGATCATCCCCCACTCCTGCAGACTTTACGTGATCGCTAGGTCCCATATGCTGTACGTTGCATTCCTCCATCCCATGCATAATAAGCAAAAACCAACGGCACATCCCCCAAGCTGAAGAAAAGTGAGGGGAAGTGCTCCCCCGCTCCCGGCGCCTCCGAATAACCCCGCTCGTTATATTAGAAAGACCTAAGCCATGATGTAGACAATACTTCCCGTCCGAGGAGGAGAAACATCTGCATGCGTGTGCGCTCAAAATACCCGTTCCGCCAAGACTCATGATCGGTTGGCTATGCTTGATTTGTGTCACCTTGGCCTAGCTTAGCAAGGTTTTGCTTTTTTTTTGTGTTTTTACTGGATTTTGGTGAAGCGCTGATATGTGTAGATCTACTCGAGAGAATACACTGTGAAGAGCGTGCGGAATGAAGGGTGGGAACGGATAGGATAGAAAGTAGTTGTTACTCCAGCGAGACGCCGAGTTGGTTACGTTGGTTAGGCTGGTTGGTGTCGGGCCAACAAACCCGCTAGCCATCGAGTGACTAGTGGTGACGGATATACCCGCCCTCATGGATCATCACTCGGGGCGTTTGTCGACTCTGGAAACATGGTCCGGGGGAAACACTTTTTTGGTGGATAGTGGCAGCGGGAGCATTTTTTGTGGGGTTGGGGATCCGCTCTAGTTGGTGTGTCGGGTGGAATATCGGCCCTGTTGGTCTTTCTATGAGGTTCCGCCCGGCCTGGCGGGGTTTGGTATGTTCACCGGGCCGGGGGTTAAGCAGTTAGTCCCACTGATCTCCGCATTCCAAATATGAATCCACGGCTTACCGCCGATAGGAACTGTTTTGTACCGCCATGGATGTCTTGACTAAGCGGCAGCCGTGTAAAGATGCCTGAATGCTAGGCTCTAGGTTTACAATCACCTGAACATGTATTATGCCGAGACGAGACAAAAGGAGGCGGGGGGGACCCGGGGGGGGGGGCATTTTTTGCCATGAAGTACCGGCCTCAGAGCGTCTGAGATATGAGGTGGTTCTCCTCCGCTGTCCTACACGAGCACCTCTAGAATTTCTGCAGACCGGTGAGCGGTGGAGTATATCAACAAAACACAACATGGGGAAAAATGTCACAAAACAAAGTTGCTTGAATAGGTGGGTGGAAGGGACGTTAGAGGCACGATCTTATTCTGGCAGGATAAGATGCGATTACCAGCTGGCTAGATAGAAACCAAAGAAATGGAAAGACCGTACCGTTCCTTAGGGGACGTTCGGTGACGCGTACGGGGTAAACAAGCCCTATTGTATCCTAGGCCTTTAGTGATATCAGGTTAATTGGCGGTGGTTGATGCTCCATCGGGTTATGATAAAGATGATGCTAGTGTTTGTGATAATGCGCATTTGAGATCTGAGGGAGGTCAGAGATAGGATGAAAGGTGTAGATGGGACGGAGGTTGGAGATTGGAGGGAGGTGTGACGGAGCTATGTAGGTAACTGACTCTCAGCATCACAACCCATCACTCGCGCCAAGCTCCCACTTCGAGTCTCACATCAGTCAGCTGGACATCCACTAACCACCACTACCTCGACAGCTGGTATATCAATCTTCTTTACGCATTCTTGATTCTCCTTGTTTTATGCCTATAATAAGATACGTGCTCTCTGTATGTCTTTCATACAAAAACTACGACTCTATTCCGCTTTCGATCTGACTACATGTACACTCCTCGTGAGTGGACCTCCGTTCGCAAATTTTAGAGAGCTTGCGTTTAGAAGCCGTGACCGTCCAAGTAATAAGCGCCCAATACGCCAAGAAAGCAGAGAGACCGAGAATTGTGATCACGCCGGATCGCGGAGGAATCCGGAAGCCCTTCAACCGCTCCGAGCTCCGGAAATCCTGGGCCGGTCTCAATACAAAGAAAGGTTCATCTTTATTACCTTCCTAGATCTAGATCGATGGCATCAATACTCAATCGCGCTGCCATATCCCCCCCCCCCCCCCCCCTTGGACTACTGCACATGGTGGAGAAGATGGCGCCGATGATGTAGAGCGTATACCGCGCCTTCCACCATTCTACGGCGGCAGGGAGCTTCTGGTGTTTGTGCAAGACACGGAACCTCCGCCTCGACGACAACTCCATTTCTCTTCAATTACATGCATGTATTACATACGTGAAATGGGAAGGCGTGATCCATATATCGTGTATATAGTACACGAGATCTCGAATGTTTGGCTCTATATTCAGCTTGGGTCAGAGTATAACCCCTACACCACGAGATCAAACGCCGAATACTACAAGTATTGTATGTATACTCATCCAACATCGCCGCCCCCAGGATAGCATCACGTGCAAGCTACGCTGGGTGCCTGAATATTTGTGCTACAAGACTGTCTACGATTTAGAAATAAAAGGCCGAGATGAACTTTCCCTGCGAGACTGGATCTTCATTTCATTTACTGCTAACGTTGGTTATATCTCTGATGTTTCATCCATGCTTGTGGCATCAGATATCACTCGCACGCGGACTGGTAATATATGGGGGACTGATCCACTAACTGTTATTAATATTCTAGCTAGCTAGCTTTCCTCTCGGGATTATATATATAAATGGTAAGAACATGAAAAAAAGAAAGAAAGATGAAAAAAAATAAGATCTACGCAGCCCCCGCTAAGCTTCGCCAACCACCCCCGAGAAATCCCCAGCAAAGCAAAAGAAACCTCCAGAAAAAGAAGAAAAAAACTCCACAAGTTGAAGCTTCTAGTTCTACTCTACTCCTCCACCAATAAATCCACAATCTTGACCCCTCTCAACAACACCAACGTATTCCCACTCACCACCGCATCTCCCAGCTTCTCCCCAAACTCCAGCATCCTCCCGCCCTCGACATGAAACACCCTCAGCTTCTTCTCCTCCCCATCATCCCTATTATTCACATTCGCCACCTGCAGCCCCTGGGCGGCCTTATCCAACACTCTCCCCACCGTCCAATCCTTCCCATACCAAAACTCGCCCCTCGGCAACTTACTACTCGTCGACTTTGCCTCCGCCTCCACATACACATAGACTCTCTTGTCGACGGGGATCTTCTCATCGCCCTTCGCCGTCCTGCGCAGCTTCGCCAGCTCCACCACCGGATTCGGCGCCCTGCTGCTCGCAGCACTCTTGGTCAGCGTCTCCTTCTTACTCGCCGTCCACGCCTTGAACCGCGACAGCGCGGCCTTGGCCATGTCGTGGCCGGCGGCCGTGCTGCTGGACCCTGTCGACGCGGGCTTGATGCTGTCGCAGTTGTGCGAGTCCTGCAGCCGGTGCGCGAGGCAGTAGGTGCGCCGGCAGGTGACGCAGTTGACGCCCGGGTCGCGGACGGTGTTGATTGTAGTTTTACAGGACGGGTGTGCGCAGGGGCCTTCGAGGAGGGAGCGAGGCTTGGGGGTGCTCGGGGTGGTGGAGGAGGAGGGTTTGGGAGCGCGGAGAGAGGCCCAGCGGCCTTCGTGGGCGCATTTGTGTGCGGTTTCGGTCCGGTGGTCGAGGCAGTATGTTCTGTTTGATTGTTAGGATGACGGGGAGATGAGGGAGGGGAGGGAGGGGGGGGGATCTTACCCAGAGCAGGACTCACATTTAAACGGCAGGAAATCGAGTCTGTGGCACGAAGGGAGGTCGCAGTGCTTCCCGATGCTCTGCACACTGTCGAGGTCTATATCGGCCTGCTGCATATTCTTTTGCGGTGGTGGTGGTGTTGGTGTGTCTGCCATCTCGTCCTTCGGGGGAGGGGGGGAGGTTATATATCTAGTGGAGATCCTAGCTAGCTAGGAGCTTGGACTTTTTTTTTCTTGGAGCTGAGCCTTGGGGGCTCTTGGAAGCTTGGGGAGGGGAGGGCTGGCCGTTTTGTCAGCTGCTTCGCCTCGTTTACTTGTGTCTTCTAGAACACACCAGACGCCGCGTGTCCCGGCCGAGTCGGTCGTGGGGTTGGAGGGTGGAGGGGGGGAGGTTTGTGGGTTGGATTGAGAGACAGCCAAATGTCTAGGAATATGTGTATGCGGACTTTAACCTCACTCAGGGTCTACTCTACAGATGGTGGCGCGCGGGAGATCTTATCTGATTGGAGACTGGCTTCCACGGCGCAGAGGGAGCCTCACAGGGGTTGGGAAGAGTGGGTTAGGGTTTTTGTGAACTACTGAGGCTTTGGGAACTGGCGAAGTGGGGGACTGTGGATGAAGCTATCGTGGGTGTAGGTATTAATGCCGGACTGGCCTGGCTAGCAGCAAGATAACAGAAATAGTATTTATCCCGACTACTTAACCAAAACTATAAGATCAGGAAAACATTATGGTAAATACCAGAAGCAGTATTCTCTAGCTACATAGAGTAGCTGCATTGGTTTTTTATTGTGCCCTCATGTGGATTTGAGAACATTCTGTACCATCATATAGATATTCACATCTTTTATGTACTCATATCATCCAACTTCTCAGAACCTAAATTGCAAAGATGTATATAATACTTAGCTACATTTAGATGGATAGAAGCAACACTTTTAATTTTTCCCACCCGCCCCCCAAACATCCTCCCCAAATTCCCAGAACCAGAACCGCAATGAAAGGGGGTTCTATTGTAAATAATAACAGTGATCAAAAAAAAAAAAAAAAGTAAAAACGAATATTGACCCTCTCCATCTTTTCCCCTCGTCTACAAGACACAGGACAAGAGAGTAGTACTAAAGAATCAGCTACGTGCCGTAACACATTATACATATATACCTTCCCATCGCAATCAATCAATCAGCCAATCAGTCAAGCAATCATCAGAACCTAAGAACGCAGAACGCAAACATTGGAAGGACGCAACAAATCGTTCACACCAGCCATCTATCTACCTAGCTAGCCAGCCCTCCCCATCCACTCCCAATCTATTTAATCGACCCTCTCGCCCGCCTCAAACTCCTCAATCCTCTCATTCACCTCCATAATGACCTTCCCCAGTCCCGCCAGCTCCTCCTCCACCGGCCTCCTCCCGCCACTCCCCCGCCTGAAAAAGTCCTCATTCACAACCCCCCTCACATCGTCCCTATTCACCCCCTCGAGCTTCCTCCCCGCAAACGTGCGGATATACTCCCTAATCGGCACCATCGCCGCGTCGCGACACGCCTCCGTCAAATCACTGCCGCTCATCCCCGCCGTCCGCGCAACAAGCTCATCAAACCTGAACCCCTCCGCCAACTTCGTATCCCGCAGTATGAGCGTCAAGATGCGCCGGCGCTGCGTCGCGTCCGGCAGGTTGATGGGAAACTTCTTCGGCAGCCGCCGCAGGATCGCCTCGTCGATATCCTGGATTCTGTTGGTGGCGCCGAGGATGAGGATCTGGCTCGCGGCGCCCGTTGTCGGGCTGGCCGAGAGCAGCCCGTCCCAGTGCGTCATGAACTCGGCCTTGACCATGGTGCTCGCCTCGTGGTCCTGGCTGCTGCGCGAGCGCAGCACGGCGTCAATCTCGTCGATGAAGACGATGGTGGGCTGCAGCTTGCGCGCGAGCGTGAACACCGCCGAGACGAGCTTGTTGGAGTCGCCGTACCACTTCTCCGTCAGTGTGCTGATGTGGAGGTTGATGAAGCAGGCGCCCGACTCGTGGGCGAGGGCTTTGGCGAGCATGGTTTTGCCGCAGCCGGGGGGCCCGTAGAGGAGGACACCCTTGGGGGCGGAGAGGAGCGATGAGGTGGCGGAGTAGAGGTGCGGTCTGTATCCCCCGTTCATCAGCACCAACCAACAAACCAAACAAGCAATCGTCCACTATACCAGTAGAAGGGAGGAAAGAAAAAAACATACGTAGTCAGAGGATAGATCACACTCTCCCTCAACTCCTCAATGATGTTCTCCAGCCCGCCAATATCCTGAAAGCTGATATGGATATCCTCCGGCGCGACGACCTCGGTGAGGATCGTCTTCTCGTACGAGCTCAGCACAAGCTTGTCCAGCCGGCCGCCCCCCTTTTTGTCGTTATTCTGGTCGAGGCGGCGCAGGATTGCGTTGGACTTCTTCTTGATCTGCTCCTTGCGCTCGCGGTCGGGGTCGCGGTAGTTGATGACCCATTTCATAAAGTAGTACAGCGAGACTTGCTACTGCTTGTCAGCACAGGACGAAGAATTCGAGGAAGGGGGGTTAGGTTAGCAAGGGGGCGGGCAGACGAACGGCGGCGGCGAGGAAGAGAAGATCCATAAGGATCTTCCGGCGCCCAGCGGCGAGCGACATTGCGAGCTGCTGTGGAGGGAAGGAGTGGCGGGTGGTGTGTGGCGATGGGTGGGAGAGAGACTCCTGTGTGCACGCTGAGGTTCAGATTGGGCGGTGAGGTGTGGATGTTTGTTGGGTGTGAGAATATCACTCGAGACTGCCGCGGTCGTGATCGGTGCGCCAAGGCTAACACGTTCATGTGTTTGGGTTCTGGGATCCGGGGAGATCTGATAAGATAACTGTAGATTCTAGGTATCCGCCTCGGGTTAGACTGCAGATGCAGGCAAAGGTCAATGATATCAAACCCGGTTTTGTTACTACGGGTCAGTAAGGATGGGTCATTAAGCACAGCGCGTACTATCGAGTCAATTTGGCAACCGTATTGTGACAAACAATAGCCGAAAGAAATTAGGAAATGATATTGTTGGGCGGAGACACAGATATTCTGCTCACGAGACGATTCAAGTAGTAAGCCATTTATCAATAGTAAATACATGTGATCATAAGTTTAAAAACAGCATAGTAACCCACAAGGCTACCAGGATTTGTCCCTTCCGTTCAATTCAGGGCCGTACAGCCCTAGATCATCGAGAAAACACACAGAGCACAGATTCTACATAACCCCAATATTCAAACCGCAACATTCAAACCAGCATAAACCTATTGCAACTAACATATCCACATCCAAGTCATAAGCCCCCAAAACATACATACATCCAAGCTCCGGTAGTGTAATTGGCAGCACACCCTCACCAAAAACATTAAAAAAACCTATAAAATCGCAGGGAAGACTGGGCTCAAACCCCAGCCAGAGCATTCTTGTGTTCTTTTGCTGTCGGGGGTCTGACGCCGAGTTCTTAGGACCTGGTACCTGGGCAGAAGAGGCATGACTATTTTCAACAGGTGGCCTGGCATGGACTCTGGGACTTTTTGCACATACGTAGTCAATAAAGTTGACTCTCGATATAAAGATACGGTCAGGACCAAGATCTGCATCCTAGCTTATAAGACGAGGAGTACCACTATGAGAAGTAAGGGCGGATAGGCAAAACAGAATTTCGGGACTACGAATTGCTATCCTTATAGCCACAACTAAAGATCACTGTCCACAGTACCGCTATAATACAAGCCGACTGTATATGTAGTGCTTACGGGTCTAGAAATACCGTCGATACGATTCGTCTACAGACATCTCGGGCCTCTAGCTCTCCAGCAGCAAAACGACACACCTGATTCTAACCCACGCTATATATCCATTACCAATGGTGGGTAATATTCAGGGAACATCATCCAAAACAGAGTAGGTAGCAAGAGCTCCACGTTACTTCAACCCCCCCTCCCCATAACAAGTTATCCACAAAACCACCAGTGATAGCGGTAGTATAGTCACAGAGCCGCAAAGTCATAAAGTCATAGAGTCAACACGACAGCGCAGAACGACCGACCGCAAGTAAGCGCCATCTAGCTACCAATATGTAGTATATTTTGCAATACAAGCCCAACAAGTACACAAGTACACAAAGTATCGATCGTACCCTAAGTAGGAGTAGGTATTAACTAAGTATGCAAGAAGGTAAGTACATGTAAGTAGCTACATACAAGTCTGTAATCAGCGAAACAAACCACGACGGATACATGGTTATGGTTATCGTTATGGGTATGGGTGGGTATGGGTATTAAGCAACAGCACCCCAGGACAAAAAAAAAAGAACCAAGAAACGGAACCCCGCAAAAAGAAAACAAAGCAACAAAACACACAAAGCATGCCCCCCCCCCCCCCCAATCCACCATTACACCCACAACCCCGCCTCCCTCAACATCCTCCCCACCCCCCCCTTCAACACCTCCCTCCTCTCCTCCGTCCTCCCCAACTTCCTCACCCTCACCTCCGCCACCTCACCAACCTCCCGCACCATCCCCTCCACCACCCTCCTCCTCTTCGCCACCACGCCCTCCAGCTGCCGCTCCATCTCCCGCTTCCGCCCCAGTATATACTCGCCGGCAGCCGCATGCTGGCGGTCGTCGAGGCTGTTGAAGAAGCGCTCGGGCACGCGCGGGTCGTGCGGGTAGTAGGAGCGCGCGAGCGAGTCGATCTCGCCGGGGAGCTGTGTGGCGGGGATGGTGGTGTGTGACTTGGAGCGTAGCGTGGAGAGGTGGGTGAGGAGGTCGGGGAAGGTGCGGATTGTGGAGAGCTCGGAGGTGGGGAGGAGGTTGTGGAGGTCGATGTCGGTTGTTGAGGTTGTGATCATGCGGCGGGGCTGTATGGTGGTAGAGTTAGTATTTGTAGTGTGTAGAGGGGGGGGGGGGAGGTACCTGTTCGTCTTTAGACTTAGATTTAGACTTCCGTTCGGGATGACGGCGATCTCTGTATTTGTGGCGGCAGACTGGAGGGAGAGGTTTCGCGCGCGGGGGCTCAGTTGCAGGTCGAGGACGGGGTCGCTGACGGGGCGCCGCACGGCGAGAGGGAGGACGGTGGGCTTGGGGGGGCGGAAGTCTGTAGTTGCTGGCTGGTGGTTAGTAATTTCGTGGGTTTGGGGTCTGTCTATCTGGGCTTGGGGATTTGTGCACTGGGCACTGTGGATTCGGTGCAGCTAGGTGAATATCAAAGCTCGATCCCTCCCTTTAAAAGAATAACTAAATGTAGTTATAGTTTTAGTTATGGGGGGCATTGCATCCAGCTTTGGTGTTCAACCAGCTGCATTGACTCCACAAGGCCCACTGCACACCGCAAATAACAAACGTAGAAAAAGCGCCTACCAAGTCTCTGCGCGCCATAATTCTGGTCCTTCCGCTCTCTCTCTCTCTCTCTCTCTCTCGACTTCCCCTTCCCCTTCCCACCCCCACCTCCACCCCCACCATACCTCATCTCCTCACTCCTCCTCTGCGGCGGCACATTCTCCGGCGACCCCTTACCCCTACTCGTCCCCGCCCGCGACCACACCCGACTCGACATAGTCGGGCTCGCCTCGCTCCACAGCCCCGGCCCCGGCCCCGGACCCGAGCCCGTCTTCCTCTGCAGCTCGCGCTCATCGTAGTCACTCCCGTCCTCGTCGGTGTAGTCGTTCGTGTAGTAGTCGTCATCCTCCTCCTCCTCCTCCTCCTCCTCCTCGTGGCTCTGCTTCGCAGTATACGAGTCCTCCGCTTCGTGCCGATACTCCGACTCACTCGCCGGCGGCAGCGGCTGCGACGCCCGTTTCCCGTGTCCCCCGTGGCCCCCGCGTACCCCTTCTTCCTCGTCATCATACGCGGCCACCTCTAGCCTCATCTCCGTGTCCGCCACCCTCTCAAACCCGCTCCTCCCCTGCTGCTGCTGCGTCAAGAAGGCGTCCGACTTAATCTCCACAACCTCCTCACTCCCCTCCCTCTTCCCCCACATCGCCGGTGCGTCTCCCACCCCCATCGGCACCGGCAGCCTCATATGCTCCATCCTCCCACCCCCCGCCACCGGCGGCTGCGACGCCATCGTGTCGTCAAAGCTCGGCGTCTTATCGTCATCAAACACGTCGTCCTCCTCGCGCGGCGCAAACATCTGCTGAAAGTCCGGTATCCTTATCGCCGCCGACTGCTTCTGCGTCTGTGCCAACGGGAACGGGCGCTGGCGCGGCGTTGACGCACGCGACGTGCCCGAGCGCGTATCGTCGTCCTCCTCGGGCGCGGGCGGGACAGATCTAGAGCTGGAGGTGTCTTCGTCGTCCTCGTCGTCGTCGGATTCGTAGCGGCGGTAGTGCGGTGTGTTGGTGCCGGTGCCGGTGCCGATGCCGACGCCGACGCCGCCGCTCTCGTCGGGTTCGTCGGAGGAGCCGGGGTCGGTGGGGTGGCGGCGCTGCTGGAAGGGCGGGGGGCGGTGATTGCGGGAGCTGATGAAGGTTGCGACGCCGCCGGGGGCGCTGTGGAGGGAGGAGGAGGGGCTTGAGCGGCCGCTGAGGGTGCTGGTGCGGAGGGAGATGGATTTGGCGGCGAAGAAGGAGTTGGAGTTGGGGGGGTTGGTGCGGCTCATTGTGGGGTGTTTGTGGTGGTGGTGGTGGTGGTGTATGAGGGGAGCTGTTTTGGGTTGGTTTGGGGGGGGGGGGGTATTATCTAGCTTTGGTGGTTAGAGCTTGTTCTCTTCTTCTCTACTGAGATGGGGAGGGGACAATGGGGTTCTATACGTACTCAGGTAAAAGGAATGATAGAGATGCAGCTATTCCATACTCTGCGTGTGTGATGTTTGATGTTTGATGTTTGATGTTTGTGTCTGTGGAGTGGAGAAGAAGAAGAAGAAGAAGAGAAGTTGTCAGACGTCAGTCAGTGATCATGCGTGTGTGTGTAACTGCGGGTGCGGGTGCCTTGTGTAACCGTGCAGGAGACCGCGCCATGATGTCAGCAGGCGAGCGATCACGGGCAATCACTCGACGGTGAGGAGAGTGGATAATGATGTTTGAGAATTGATTGATTGACCTGTGCATTCGGGGTCTCTCAGCAGTTGTAGATATCCAGAGCAGTTACAGTAGTATGTATGCATGTGTGATCTATGCAATTCTCTCTGTGCTCGCAATGCATACCGTCCTCACCCAATCCTCTGTCCCTGTCCAGAGCCAGAGTAGATGCCATCCCAGCTTAGGTCCCACCCCCAGATGCCCTAACTCGCCACAACCCCAGCACCCACCCTATTCTCTTGGCACTCCTTCGCATAAAACCCGCCCGTCACCCCTCAGCCCCACCTTTTCCTCCCCGTTGGTCGTTCTCCTCGTCAAGGCTGCGTTTCTTTGCTCACACACGGATGAGGAAAAAACCAGATACACACACCTCTCCCCCCCCGTGGGGAGACGGCGTCCATATGTCTGTGTTTCTTCCGCCATCACCACACACGCAAATGAGAAATTCGGAGTAATCTCTTTTTTACCAAAGTACCGCTGCGAGGAAGAAGGGGGTTCTCCTTCTTCTTCTCTCGCTCGCGGCGGCCCGCGAGGGCCTGGGGTGATAACCTTCTCACTCCTGCGGCGACATCAGAAAACAAGGGTCCCTCCCCCCCCTTTTTCTTTCCTTCTCTTCTCCCGCTCCTCTCTTTTTTTCTCTCCACGTTTTTCCTCCTTTGCACTTGCAATTTCCTCGCTGCCAAGGCGGCCTGGGGTTGTTTGGGTTTTTGGGGCTTTTGCGGGGGGGAGGGTTAGAGGGTGAGTGGTGCGGAGGGGGGGGGGGGGGTGTGGGGGGTGTGGCCCTGTGGGAGTCAATGCAAAGATTGTTGGGTGAAGCCACTTTAGTGCAATACGCGGCGTGCCCTCCGTCCCCTCGCGGGGAGGGGGGGGTATAATTCGATTCCGATTACTCTGACGAGGAGAACGACCTTCCTTTTTTTTCTCTTTTTAGGTATGTGGATTTCCTCTCCCTTGAGCTGTGAGCTGCTAATTTTGGGGTGTGGTGGGGTGGTGGGGTGTTAGGAACGGTGTCGGTGGGGGGATATAGGGATTGGGATGAGGATTGGGATTGTGAGATCGTGGGATAGTGGGGTGTTCCTTTTCTTTTCCCTTTTCTTTTTTATTCTTGTCGTTTCTCAAATCTTGTCTAGCTGTAGAAATAAAATTCTACAGTCAAAAAAAAAAAATTTCTCTCTAAACCCTCGTCCATTGTGATTCCAGTGACTAACTTAAATAATCGTGACTATAAACCTTTTCCCGATGATCTATCTCGCCTGGTTTTCAGTGTGAAATTCCTTTGCTGATCCTGAATACAGACATTAGCCAAACGAGTCACGGACGAAACAAACATACACCACAAAAACCGACGAAGCCCAATATCCGATATCCATCAGGAAAACAGTCCCTCCTTCAACCCAACGCCCCTAGAAACCCAAATCAACATCCAGCTTCACTACCCCCGACGAGCTGGCTCTCAATATAAACCACATCAACACCTCTACCAGTCTTCAAAGACCCACCCAGCACAGCACCTTCAATCCCACCAAGCAGCGCCCTTAAATTCACCCAGTTCCGCTACACCCCAAACACCAAAACCACACCACCACCCAGATCCCACACGGCCAAAACTAATCTCTACCTTTTACCCAAGCAGTAACACAATCGCCACCGACAGTCTTGACTCCCCTATAGATACATACGGATACCCACCACCTACCAAAACACCGACGACTTCTTCCCGCCCACAGCGTTTTTGCCTACGTATAGATATAGATATACAAGCCCTTAACCCAAGCAAGCCCCCGGGTGCCAGGAACCGCTACATCACACATCATGGAAGGGAGGCATACGCCAGAGATCTGAAACGTGGCGGGGTATATTGGCATCTTTGCGCAGTCGCCGGGAGTACCTACAGGAAGAAAAGGGGATGGGGGGGGGGGGGGGGACGCTATCTACCAACTCCTAGTCTCGGGGAATCACAAAAGCTCGAGAGTCGGTGGAAATAGCAATAGCGAAACGCTGCTGACTACGGCGTATCTAGAGTACAGAGTCAGTAGGACAAGTAGTGAGTTCTGGAGGAAGGGGAAGGGGTGGTGTCGTCTTGTTTTTTGCCTAGCAGGAAACTATTTTCTTCCAGCCTATAAATGCTAGGATGCTAGTTACCGGGAGAGCGAGAGGGAGATGAGGTCCTGCCGCCAGAAGTTCTAAACTAGTATGGAAGAGGAGGTTACAAACGTACGGGTTCAGACCACAGATGTGGGTCTGGGTCGAAATAGTAGGTACCGATGGTTGGTACCAGTATGTTACTACTCAGGTAGTGTTTTGCCACTGCAACTACAGCGCACAACCCTTACCTAGCATAGCATACAACTCTTAACAAGAGTAGCGAATCAATCGAGCGGTGTGCCTACAATCACCAACAAAACCAACACCTAGCCTCCCGAGAATTGGGGCGAATCAACTGGCTTACTAGTACATGGCCGGGGACAGAGTTTGTATTATAATTACATCAAATCTCCACTCCACAGAAACCCGCAGAGTAGATCTTTAGGATTTTCAATCACCATATGTATAGATGTATCCGCCACTAGCTTCCCAGATCCCCCCACTGCACTGCAGGAATTTAATGCACAAGGTATCACTCGGTCCGTGAGTCAAACTCGACAGAGCGGTGAGTCAGCCTCGCCCCCAGCAATTGAAGGGGGTACATGTAGTGGGCCGATATATTGCCTTATCCTATAGCCCGTTCGGATGGATCAGTGTAAGTTTGATGTCTACGGACAGCTACAGAGAGAGGGTGGGACATGTACAGCCGCATTCGAAAAGTACTGGCACCCTACTACATTGAGTCGTTCATGGATTGTAGCCCACCAAAATCCATGGCACTCGCGCATACTCAACTTATTGATAGGTATGACCGCAATAGAGACATGGCAGCTCTCTCTGGCAATTGTCTTGAATATGGGGGTTGAAAAGCAGAAAGGACTGCCTCGTGAGTTTGGCTCGAAGGTGCCAATACTTTTCAAATGCGGCTGTACAGCACATAATAAATGACAGGCGGACAGAAGGCCTAGCCGTCACCTTAAAAAATAAAGATCCCCTTATGTGCATGTATCTACTTAGTCTTCCTTCTCCAGATCCCAAAGAATACGAAAGTTGGGTTACCCTAGCCGAAAATTAAGGCCAGCATCCTGACCTCCTAATTTAATAGGCCGACGTAAAGTAAAACCTGCAGGTCTGGCCGGTCAACTAAATCCTTATATGTATCCAAGCATGTGCCCTCCCTCCTTCATATGCTGTAGCTACACGCCAGGTACTCGATCTACTCCTCGCTAGCTAGCTGCATACTGAAACCCGAATTCTCCATATATTTACCGCTTTTTTTTTGTTTAATTCATTAATTATATTTACCGCTTCCCCGATCTTGATCTGGATCTGGATCATGGAATGAGACATCCATACATACAGCATTTCTGCAGAGGTACAGGTACCGTGGTTTTGGGGGAGTTGATTGTAATTCGATACCTGCCTGGCGGGTGGGGTGCTTATCCAAGCGTAGTTATCCTCTAGGCTCTCTCACGGATTCTTAAGTCAGTACTTAAGCTAGTCTCGTACCCATCCCCTACTTAGAAGCAAGCTTCCCTGTTGGGCGGTGGGAGGGCGCGGAGTACGAGAGTCACTATAAACAAAATCATACACCCCACATGCTGTCCGGATGTTAATGCACTCCTCGCCATCATCTAAAACCCAAATATCCCCGCTTCCCCGATCTTCAGCTGAGACATTAATATTGAGACATTCATCTATCTCACTAGCTGACTCGAGGAGAATGAGGAACCTGCAAGCCTGTATTTTGAGAAGAAGTGTACTGTGGAAGAGAAGCTGGTTACACCCCGACTGTAGATGGGCAGCATAACGTCGTATCCCTCGGGAGATGGAGAAAGGATCAAGAATGGCCATCGCGGCTGCAATTGTCTTTTCGCCCCTTTAAAGGACTTACGGCACGACCTTCCCACATGCAAAGTGCAGGATCGACACCATGCACGTGGTGAGCATTTCTCACGACCAAAAAACCCTATCTCTGCCTTACAATTGTTCTCAAGTCGTCTTTGGCTGCCAAATATGGGGTTCTCCGGCCGGGCTACATAGGGCGGTCCTTATATACCCAAGCAATCACCCCTCACATGCTGTCCACCTGCATGCCTACCAACGCTCCCCAGATGTCTCTCCTTCTATCATGCACCCCTCGCCATCCACATGCCCACCCAAAGATCTCCATACATCGGCTGCTTCCCTGATACAGGGCCGAGACAGGGATTGAGACATCATCTCACTTTACGCCAAATTCAGTGGTCGACGAACTTCTCGTCCGGAACTTTACAGGGCTTTCTGAAGTCATAGCTCTCGGGATAGGAATGTCTCGAGAATGCGCAGCTATTAATATTTACAATGTCAGGCATTGTGTTTCGCTCCATCTGGTAGTTTTTGTGAATGAAAGAACTATCATTGGGAATGGGGAACACTCGACGATGAGAAAGGTATCGAATATCGTGGTCGTTCTAGCAGACCTCTATATCTAAGGTTCGACACTTCCCTCGTCCCA